AACCAGACTCAAACGGGAGAAGCAGGACTGCCTGGCTTCGGTCCCTCCGAGGTTTGCAGCTGTTGCTGGGACAGAGAGGCAGAGCCCCTGGGGACGGACTGAGAGCAGCCATAACTGCTCCCTCCTCCGCCCTGTTGATCCCGTGGGACCCGCCCCACCCAAGCCCTGTGCAGAGCCATTTGCCGATCGCCTCAGGGAAAGGCTAGATTAGCACCTCCCCAGAGGACAGAAGTTTTCCACACAGCTGATTCTCACAGCCAGTCGGTCTGGAGGTCAAATCCCTCTAGTATTAACTACAACAATCAAGGCTTAACTACAACAAGACTGCGCACAAAGACCACTAGAGGGTGTACCAAGAAAGCGTAAAAAATGCGGAGACAAAGAAACAGGACAAAACTATCAAGGGAGGATATTGAGTTCAGAACCACACTTTTGAGGTCTCTCAAGAGGCTTCTAGAGTCTGTTGATAAACTTGATGAGATGTACAGGAAATCTAATGAGACCCTCGATGGTGTGATAAAGGACCATCTAGAAAGTAAGCATACACTGACTGAAATAAAGAATATTATACAGACTCCCAACAGCAGACCAGAGGAGCGCAAGAATCAAGTCAAAGATTTGAAATGGGAAGAAGCGAGAAACACCCAACCGGAAAAGCAAAATGAAAAAAGAACCCAAAAATACGAAGATAGTGTAAGGAGCCTCTGGGACAGCTTCAAACATACCAACATCAGAATTATAGGGGTACCAGAAGATGAGAGAGAGCAAGATATTGAAAACCTATTTGAAGAAATAATGACAGAAAACCTTCCCACCTGGTGAAAGAAATAGATTTACAGGTCCAGGAAGCGCAGAGAACCCCAAACAAAAGGAATCCAAAGAGTACCACACCAAGACACATCATCATTAAAATGCCAAGAGCAAAAGACAAAGAGAAAATCTTAAAAGCAGCAAGAGAAAGAAACTCAGTTACCTACAAGGGAGTACCCATATGACTGTCAGCTGATTTCTCAACAGAAACTTTGCAGGCCAGAAGGGAGTGGCAGGAAATATTCAAAGTGATGAATAGCAAGAACCTACAACCAAGATTACTTTATCCAGCAAAGCTATCATTCAGAATTGAAGGTCAGATAAAGAGCTTCACAGATAAGGAAAAGTTAAAGGAGTTCATCACTACCAAACCAGTATTATATGAAATGCTGAAAGGTATCCTTTAAGAAGAGGAAGAAGAAGAAAAAGGTAAAGATACAAATTATGAACAACAAATATGCATCTATCAACAGATGAATCTAAGAATCAAGTGAATAAATAACCTGATGTACAGAATGAACTGGTGATTATAATAGAATCAGGGACATAGAAAGGGAATAGACTGACTATTCTGGGGGGAAAAGGGGTGTGGGAGATGCGGGAAGAGACTGGACAAAAATCGTGCACCTATGGATGAGGACAGTGGGCGGGGAATGAGGGCAGAGGGTGGGGTGGGAGCTGGAAGGAGGGGAGTTATGGGGGGAAAAAAGAGGAACAAATGAAATAATCTGAACAATAAAGATTTAATAAAAAAAATAAAGCAAAATGCTTTATTAAAAAAAAATGAAAACGGGGGAAATATCAATCACAACAGGCATTAAAGCAAATTAGTATTAGTAGAAATACAGATTAGTCCATTCATCAGGAAGACACAGCAGTTCTAACCCTGGATGACCCACAAAACAGGGTTACATAGGCCTGGATGGAGGGCTGAGAAACACACCTTCAGAATTGGCGAACAATTTTTAACTTCTTTTAAAGGTTTTCATTTTTAACTGTATTAGAAATGGGAAATTTAAAAAAAAATAGAACAAAAAATAAAAAAATTAGTGGAAAAGCTGAAGAATAAAATTAATGAAATCCTTTTGTAGACAGGAAAGTCAAAGAAATAGAAATTATGAGGGGGAAAAAAACTAATAGGGGATGAATAATAAGAGTTCCAGAAATAATATTAGCCGACATCTGAACAATTAGAGTTCCCAAAAGAAGAGAGAAAATGGAGGAGGAATGTGAACTTCCTGGGAGGGGCGACTCTGCTGTGTCCCCCACCACCCAGCCTCTTGGTATTTCAACTCATTTTAGATATAGCTGCTGCCCCTTCCCAGTGATTTTGTGAACTAGATGGTAACCGTTGATAAATGTGTTTCGTGCTAAAGTTATTTTTAAAAAAATATTTTTATTGAATGTAGAGAGGAAAGGAGAGGGAGAGATAGAAACATCAATGATGAGATAGAATCATTGATCAGCTGCCCCCTACTGGGGATTGAGCCTACAACCCAGGCATGTGCCCTTGACCGTAATTGAACCAGCGACCCTTCAGTCTGCAGGCAATGTTCTATCCACTGAGCCAAACCAGCTAGGACCGTGCTAAAGTTTTTTAAACATAGTAATAGAATTTTTTTTTTTTTTAAAGTATGTAGCCGAAACCGGTTTGGCTCAGTGAATAGAGCATCGGCCTGCGGACTGAAAGGTCCCGGGTTCGATTCCAGTCAAGGGCACATGCCTAGGTTGCGGGCACATCCCCAGTAGATGTGCAGGAGGCAGCTGATAGATGTTTCTGACTATCTCTCTCCTTTCCTCTCTGGAAAAAATCGATTAAAAAAATATATTAAAAAAAAAGTTAAAAAAAAAAAGTATGTAGAACACATCTGAAAACATAGGGAGTGGGAAAAGGGTCCCACTGAGTCCCTTTTCCCCATGGCTTATGAAGGCTGCAGTTCCAGTGTCCCGATATCCCCTCTGATTGGTCAATGTTCCCCTTCGAATTGGTTACTATAGTGATTCCTAAGGCCCTCCTTCCTCATAGTCCTTCCATTCCCTGGGCTTCTAGAATAGATGGCCTATTAGAATATTGAGTCCTTCTAGAGCCTTGGGGTTGAGAGGACAGTGTTTCTGATTGAAGTGGTGGTAAATGCGCAGTCCACCCGTCCATCTTGTCTGAGACTGCACACCGACCTTGTGTAGGTCACCTATACAAAGATGGCAGGCATCCTTGCACGTTTTTTATTTTTTTATATTTTTTTCGAATGGGAAGCGTTTTCTACACTACAAAAAGACAGTCCATTAGGATGTATCCTCAAGAATTGTGATAAGTTGGGGAGGACCAACATGGCGGCATAGGTAAACACCGGCGACTGCTGCCCCAATCAACCATTTCAAAAATACAACTAAAAGACGGAACAGACATCACCCAGAACCACAGGAAGGCTGGCTGAGGAGAGACTCTTAAACTAGAAGGAAAGACAACGCATACCGAGGCTCAGAGGAGGCGCAGTGTGGAAAATACAAAGGTACCGAGGTGCGCGCGCAAAGCGGGCTGGTGGCTAAGGGCCCGGTTGTCGTTTTCAATCAGGAGGGAGTCTCAGACTCTGAGCTCCAGTTCCGGACGAGTCTCTAGGGACTCAGACTCAAATGGGAGAGGCAGGATTGTCTGGCATCAGTTGGAATGGAGGGCAGCTTTCTCTCCGAGGTTTGCAGTGGTTGTGGGGGTTCTGAGAAGCAGAACCTCTGGGAACGGGGCTGAGAGCAGCCATAACTGCTCCCTCTGCCCGCCCTGTCGATCCCCTGCGACCCGCCCCGCCCATGCCCTGTGCAGAGCCATTTGCCAGATCGCCTCAGGCAAAGGCTAGATTAGCACCTCTCCAGAGGACAGAAGGTTTCCCGGCAGACACAGGTGATTCTTACAGCCAGTCGGCCTGGTGGTCAAATCCCTCTAGTATTAACTACAACAATCAAGGCTTAACTAGAACAAGCCTGCGTACAAAGACCACAAGGGGGTGCACCAAGAAAGCATAAAAAATGGGGAGACAAGAAAACATGACAGAAAAGGAGGATATAGAGCTAAAAAATGCAACTTTGAGGGCTTGCAATAATGTGCTACAAGCTGCCAATAAACTTGATGAGAGCCTCACGAAATGTAATGAGACCCTGACGAAATCTAATGAGACCCTCGATGTTATGATAAAGAACCAACTAGAGATTAAGCATACACTGACTGAAATAAAGAATATTATACAGACACCCAATAGCAGACCAGAGGAGCACAAGAATCAAGTCAAAGATTTGAAATGCGAAGAAGCAAAAAACACCCAACCGGAAAAGCAAAATGAAAAAAGAATCCGAAAATACAGAGATAGTGTAAGGAGCTCTGGGACAGCTTCAAGCGTACAAACATCAGAATAATAGGGGTGCCAGAAGATGAGAGACAGCAAGATATTGAAAACCTATTTCAAGAAATAATGACAGAAAACTTCCCCCACCTGGTGAAAGAAATGGACTTACAGGTCCAAGAAGCGCAGAGAACCCCAAACAAAAGGAATCCAAAGAGGACCACACCAAGACACATCATCTTTAAAATGACAAGAGCAAAAGACAAAGAGAGAATCTTAAAAGCAGCAAGAGAAAGAGACTCAATTACCTACAAGGGAATACCCATACGACTGGCAGCTGATTTCTCAACAGAAACTTTGCAGGCCAGAAGGGAGTGGCAAGAAATATTCAAAGTGATGAATACCAAGAACCTACAACCAAGATTATTTTATCCAGCAAAGCTATCATTCAGAATTGAAGGTCAGATAAAGAGCTTCACAGATAAGGAAAAGCTAAAGGCGTTCATCACCACTAAACCAGTATTATACGAAATGCTGAACGGTATCCTTTAAGAAGAGGAAGAAGAAAAAGGTAAAGATACAAATTGTGAACAACAAACATGCATCTATCAACAAGTGAATCTAAGAATCAAGTGAATAATCTGATGTACAGAATGAACTGGTGATTACAATGAATCAGGGACACAGAAAGGGAATGGACTGACTATTCTTGGGGGGAAAAGGGGAATGGGAGATGCGGGAAGAGACTGGACAAAAATCGTGCACCTATGGATGAGGACAGTGGGTGGGGAGTGAGGGCGGAGGGTGGGGCGGGAACTTGGAGAAGGGGAGTTATGGGAAAAAAAAAGAGAAACAAATGTAATCTGAACAATAAAGATTTAATTAAAAAAAAGATTTTAAGTATGAAACAAAGGTTATAAAACAAGACAAATAAAGGATAACGATTATGTAAAATTGATGTATGTATATGCCATAGAAAGAAATCCTGAATGAAATGTAAAAAAAAAAAAAAAAAAGAGTGCAGTGTATTGGCCCATTCACGCATGTGTGTAACCATGATGCCTGGGGGAGGAAGTGTGAGTGCCCAAGACAGATGTTGCTTATGTGTGAATGTACATGTGAGTAGATGTGTGTGAGTAGATTGGTGTTTTACCTGGAGGCATGTCTGGCTGACCCCATCTTCGGCAAAAAATGGAGTCACGATTCCAGAAATAGAGTGGACGAACCAGGTCCTGCTGACGGTGGAAAAGGTGAACTCCGGGAGCTTAATTGAAATCACTGTTTTCGGACAGCCCCGTGTCCAAAATAGGGTGAAAAGCATGCTCCTGAGCCTGGCAGCAAGGCGCCGGGAAAACTGTGCCCGAGATAAGAAGATGAAACAACTGGAGAAGTTCTTGAAGGCCCATGGTACCTCCCCCGACTCCCCAGTCTCCCTGGTCTCCGTCTCCTGTTGCATGATATTGGCAGGAGCATTATGAGAACCGACCTGCTCCTGCTCCTGAAGTTCAAAAGAAGCAAGTGTCCTTAAATCTCAGCTTTTTTCTTTCTTTTTTGCTGGATGGATGGTGGTTTGGTTATTCTGTTGCAGATGTGAATGCTGTTGTAATAAAATGAATTTCCTAGTCAAAAAAAAAAAAAAGATTTGGGATAAGTTTGACCCACAAACCTTAAAAAGAAAACGCCTGATTTTTTTCTGCACTATAGAAGGTCTCAAATTTAGTAAATAAAGCCTGTTAACTACTCTAAATTAACCACCATTAATCAAAGGGATAACAAAACCCCCTCGGCCTTTTTGGAAGGCTCACAAAGGCTTTTGGAAAGGTGAGCCACTTCTCATAAATTAAGGGGTGCTCCTGCGACTTTTCTGTACCCGTGTAGAGGAAAGGCTAGTTCAAGGGGGAGGCGCCCCACCTCACTTTAGGTGGCCCTTGGCCTGAGCCCACCTCTTCATGGATGCTGTAGAATGGCCCTGAGATGGTTTTTCTTTGAAAAATGGTGAAAATGACACAAGGAGAATGCAAGACAATCGGGCGAGCCACATGGCCAAAATGGTCCACTGGAAAATGCTATGGTTCTGGGGAGGGCTAGTCCCAAACCTGGGACGAGAGACATTGCTTTTACTGGAGTGCTTCGCGGAGTGTCTGTGGATTGTGCGCACCTGTAAATACTGTGTATGAGAGTGTTTCTGTTCATGTTTCATGTGGATGTTTGAATCGGTCTGTTTAAAGACGGGGAACATCCCAATTTGCCGGGGCCCAGCTGCTTGTGGACAGGAGGAGCACCTGGCGGGGTTTGAACTTGAGCGTCTCTTTACTGCGAGGTACCTAGGCTGCTAGCTTGGTTTGCTCTTCGCCATCTTTATGAAGATAGAAAGCTCTCTGCCTCTGCACCGTGTAGGGCTGTGTGTCACTCAGAACCAAAGGTGGTCTGCTGGGTTAACATTTTAAGATTCTGAAGCTAATTTGCAAGTGTAAATTTGTGAATGTGAGGCTTTTTGCAGGATCAGGAAGGCATGGGAAAGGAACAACGTACCCCAGCTGCGCCCTAAAGGCTGAGAAAAAGATCTCCTTCTTGGCTTCCCAGACATGCCTGTAATGGCTACAGCCTCTGAGGATGGTTTACCAGGGTTTGGGAGGAGTACACGGAAGGTGGCTCCCGCATCGAGCAGGAAATTAATTTCCTTGCCCCCCAACTATCAGGCTTACCCGGGGCTCCTGGGTGGAGGTGGCAGTCCTCTGAGGAGCCTGATTGAGAGACCCGGAGCCCCATCAGTCCTGTTGAGCCAACTGGTCGTCAGCCCCGCCCCAAGGGAGCTCAGTCTCCAGGGGCAGGCAGTCCGACTTCCAGTGGTTTCCTTGGCAGGCAGGGCAGGGCTTCAGGAGTCCACCACGCCTCTTGGGCAACTCTGGCACATAAGTCCAACCTGTCTACGGGACTGACCCTTCGCCTCCGGGCTCTGACTGCGGGTCCTTGCCTTGCCTAAGTGTGGCACTAAGAGCCTTGGCTTTAGCCTGGCTTCCCATTTCTCCTTTTTCCCCATTCTGGTCTCTATTATAGAACACAGAGGTGGTAACTTCCAGGAGATTTTTAAAGTACTCTTGGGACCAATAGCCAATTCTTGCAACTTCCTGATGTCTGGGATAGCCTGAGTGATCAATGTGTCCTTTAAAATTAGTTGTCCCAATTCTGAATCTGTGGTAATGTTGGTAGGCTTAACCAAAAGCCTTTCCAAATTTCAAATGGACTGGGAAATAAAATCTGGCGAAAATGAGACTTTTTAGAATGTTCCCGAGAGGGCGAGACCGTTTTACAGAATCACAATGAAGGCGAGAAGCGAGGTACCCAGTAATGAATGAGATAACAGCTTGTCTGGCTCTAATGCTGCATTCTCTGAAAAGGCTAAAACTTCTACAGGGTGGAAAACAGTTCGCTGGCTCTCCTTTCTTAACTCTTGCCCAGGAATTTTTTTCCCAGGACCCTTACCATAAAGGCCTGCACAAATGGTGACTTAGGATCTTAAGCTTAGTGGGTCCTGGACCGTGGAGGCAGCGGTCTTGGCTGGATACTATCTGACCTGACTGAGACAGCAAGCAGAAGAAAAGGCAGATGATTCTCCAATTAAAACCTGCGTGGGATCTGGGCCAGGGGAGTGGACGTATGCAGTGGGTCAGAAACGTGCTGTTCTTGGAACCGTGTCTCAGTTTCTCTCCCAGCTGTCTGAGACAGCCGCGAGGACCCGGGATGCTGGGTGACCAAACCTTGTATGCATCCCCTGGACGGGTCAGAATTTAATTACATGTGTTGTTAAAACCCTATTGAGGCGGTCTGCACGCCATGGAGAGATTCGCTCCCAGCACCTCCGCTGTGGTTCTTAAGTAAGAACATCCGAGAATCCCAGACCGGGGGAGACTTGCCTCTTTGACCTTCGGAGCTGGGCAGAGAGCCAAGCACCCATTGGTCGATGGCCGGGCTTTGACTTGCGACTGGCAGAAGCCTAATGCTCTAATCGACCCGGCACCGGTTTCCCCTTCCATGGGAGGCTTTTCTTCTAGCGGCAATCGCCCTAGTGGCCTTTACTTGACTGACCCAGGCCCGCTTTGGTTTTGGCGCTGGAGAATTCATCCAGAAAGAAGCAGTGAGAGCCCTAACTGGTTTGGCTCAGTGGATAGAGCATCGGCCTGCGGACTCAAGGGTCCCAGGTTCGATTCCAGTCAAGGGCATGTACCAGAGTTGTGGGCACATCCCTAGTAGGGGGTGTGCAGGAGTACTGATGTTCTTTGTGAACGGAGACAGAGGCAAGCTTGGCGTGTAGGATGAAGTAGAGCAGAGGGCTACCGCTCCCTCAGGCGTGTAGCAAAGCCCCCAAAGCTCTCATGGCTTTTATTTGGGGAGCACAGCAAATAACAATGGAGTACAGCAAGTGACAATGATTAACAGGCATGCCTATGAGATCATCTAAGCTAAGTTATACACTACACTATTAATTTCCTATGTTATACAAAGACCAAAGGGTTTCAAAGACCACCTGCCGCAGTGCACCCTCCCTTAAACTTTCCATGCCCTCATGGGCTATTTATCACCTCAAGGAAAGTTCTGCCTCTGAACAATAAGTCTTGCGTGCAAGACTTTGTTCTGACGTGGCCCGCTTGCAGGCCCCCGCCTTTTCCTGGCAGAGCGTCCTCTTCTGGTTAACTTTTCATTCCACTTGTCTAGCTACACAGGAGGCAGCTGATTGATGTTTCTCTCTCATCGATGTTTCTAACTCTCTATCCCTTTCCCTTTCTCTCTGTAAAAAATCAATAAAATATATTAAAAAAAGAAGCAGTGAGAGAGAGACGTCCGCTTTTTAGACGGCAGCCAAGTTTACGTTACTGGTGGGCGGCCTTCTGCCTCCAAAATCGTACCAGAAACAGAAAAGAGACAGAATCCGTGGCTACTCACCATTCGCCGTGAAGAGGGTTGACTGACTTGGGGAGAAATCCCCAGCCAACACACCATCTGATACCGAATTTTTGGA